CAGAAGCCACTAAAGCCGGGCATACACTGTACGATTTTCTCATTCCTTGCATGCAACTACAGCTTACACTGTACGATGAAACCGCAGGGTTTACAAGTTCACAGCTCACGATGTTTGTTCTCACACTGTGCGATCCGACCCTATGATGTGATCTACCTGCTCGCACTGCACATCTAAAAACCACGTCGGACTTGGCTCGTCTTTCCGGAAGCCATGCCATCATTCTGACGGGGTCTTGGCTGCGTCCAGCAGTACCGGATGGTGCTTTTGGCCTGGAGGGACTAATGCTATACTGCGCCGATAGAAACAAAGAGCTCTGCGTAAATGGAAAATCCTCTGAGACTGTTCCCAGGCAATCTTCAGATGCTTCCCCACCATGCTTCTGTGTTTTCATCTAAGAGGAACAAGAAGAAGAGTCCTTGTTTGCGCATGCCAACTGAGCGATTTGCCCATGACGGCCGACTGAAATACAAACATGTTTGAATTTTTCCCGACCTTATGATTCCTGACCGGGAGGTGGTCGTGAGCGGCTAATCGCCCCCATTACCCTCTGTACACTACATGATGCATGACGTACGATAAGGCTGAAAGTCGGCCCGATCGAAATAATTCTCGCAAGACTGGAAAATCATCCGGAAAAGGGCAAAAAAATCATACAGCATATGCCCGGCTTTAAATGATGCTAAAATTGGGATTTATTTTTAGCCAGTTGAAGAAATTATATATAAGCAGTGCTAAGATGTCGGGTGATTAAGTAGCTAATTTAAAGGTTGGTTACAGAAGTTGAAAAATGTATCAGATCCAAATGATTGCATTATCCATGTGTCCAATATCAATTTCACAAAGGACTGTTCATAGGGCAGTGATGTTGGCTAATATATTCTAAGTGCTATGAAGTTGCATTTTGCATGTTAATGTAATCTGTGCTGAACAGTAGCTGGCATACACAATGTCGCCTACTGTGCCAAATGTCTGAATGATGGAAAGGTGGTTGTAACTCAAAGGAAAGGAGAGAATAAAGGCACATTTTGCCCAATAACGTCTTTTCAAGATGTGTGATATGATGCAGCCCCTTACACACCAACCAATCTAGACTGAAGAATCATGTGTATAACAACCTGCTTCGGTTGATAACTACCTGTTTCCACTTCTGACACAGCGTATCTCATTGTGTGCGATACTGTACATTAATATTTCACATTCTGTGCTATGCTATCGCTGCTGTGACATTTTAGAAGAAAGCAGAGGCTTCTGATGTTTGCATTAAGCAGTAGGTAGAAACTAATTAACATGCATGTTTTAATTAAATGCTTTACAAAGATATATAGATTTATGTAGGAAGGTTTTACCCTTTATAAAATGTCTGCCTGAAACGGAAAGCTTAACTGTGTAGGACCTTAATCCCTAATGCTTTAAGGACTGCTTTCTGCAAAACCAGTGCTTCTAATTTATGAAACCTTTTGTCAAGTGCTTCCAAATCATTTAGCCTCCTGTACCAAAAAGAGTCAGCTTTTTATCTTAAACTGCTGTATAGTTTTTGACACCAAACAAGGTGATATCTGTATGTTTTATTCCTAAGAAACTATCTAATGGTTGTACATTGGTACAATGTGAAATTCCGGCGTTTTAATGCAATCCTTCTGAAGCAGCTGAATGGTCAGTGGGTACATGTTTGCATGCATGTAGCAGTACTTGAAAGAGATGTCCAACCAGACTTTTGCCGACTGGTGCAGATTTTTCTTCTTCATTATCTCGACAGGTATCAAAGACTGAATAAAATGCTGTAGAGATTGAATGGATTTAAAGAATGTACTGTTTGATGAGGGTTTTACAGAACGAAAAGTGGTTGTTTAAGGTTTTGATGCATTTAGGAGTGGAAAAATGCTGACCTTGCTGGCTGAATGATCTCTTTACATTCATCCTGACTTTGACTTTAAGATAAGCCTCTGCTTTTGAATGCTGGGTTACACTGGACTGAAGTACTGGGGAATATGGTTTAAAAATCTAATATCCAATTTCTTTTTTCTTTTTCTTTTACAAAATCCAGCTTTTAAAAATCTGAGCTCCTCACATGAGACGAAAATAGTTCATATTACCAGTTACATATATTTCTGGGTATGGATAGTTTCAGACCTTACAGAGAAAAACATAGCCTTTTCTTTTCACAACCAATAACCATGTCTCTTAAATAAAGTTATATTTCAAACACAAGCTAGAGGCCCCAACTGCAGGTTTCAAAGGTGTTGATCTTTCCTAACCAAAGTCAATAAACCCATATATTCTCAATTTGAAAGAATATGAAGTCGACAGAAGATAAACAAACCATCTCTTTGCGTTTGCCCTTTGGTTTATTGTTTCAGCGATGTGTGGGAGGCTGGCTCAGGTCCAGTCCTGGTGAAAACACTCTTGTCTGACCAGTTGGTGCTGGAACGATGCATGGCACCGTCAGTATGCAGGGCATGTGTTTGAGATTGTGGAGTGATTAAAATCTCCTGTGATTTCTCCTACCCGTCAGTGCAAGACAATTAAAATAAAAGTAACTTTGGCGAATCTCCTCTCTGATTTAATAAGGTTTGGAGCTCTGGGATCAGACAGGGGGAATAATAATCATGAGTGGCTTTGTACCTCAATGAAAAACTAAAACCATTCTGAGACTGTAAATTCTTTTATAATTGTAGTCGTACCCTCCATCATAGCAAAGGAAAGCCAATAATTATTTGTTAGCAAATATGTAACTTTTTTCCCTCGTGTTATAGCCTGAGGATTGTTTTGTTTTAGCTTTAATGTTTTTTCCCAACATCATGTATATCTTAAGTGGAAAGCCTCTGTCATCATGTGTAGTTGAGAAGTTATTTTTCTGTATGTGGATGTGAAACAGTAATTATCCTCTCTACACTGTTATTTGAAACACATGCTGCCTGTCACAAGCTATTATTTTTTGTTTTTGATACGAAGCTTTTATGTGGTTGCATCTAAGCCCTATAACTGGGCACAACATATGTGAGGAGTCACCCAAAAAAAGGATCTTTTTGGCTAAGCATGTTGTTTTCTCCAAACCCTTCGTGGTCTGGAGCTATCACAGCGAAATGGTGTTCATAAAGCCCTTAAATTACCTGTTCTCTCTGACCCGCATTCACTGAAACACATCTGGCAGTCACATGTAAACTACTTGGTGCTATGTTTCATTTAGTTGTGTTCCCTGGTAAACAGTTACCGTCCCTCGTCTTCAAATTAGCACTGTTAAAGCAGAGTCCCCCCTACATGGCTGCTGATGGACAGCAAAGTGAAACTGGATCAGTGGAAAGAAAAGGACAGGCGCTCTGGGACTTGTGCAGCCTGCATGCCTCTTGCTCAATTAGACACTTGCTTGGACATTTACTCAGCACAGTTTTTTTATCACTGCAGTTTTAGCGAAGGGTGTGCAGTGGGTCAACAGCCGATAGTTACAACCTTTCCTTTGTGGAGGTGTTGGACAAATTGGACCTCACAACTGTTAAGCCAGTCTTACAGGGACAGCTGCAGCTCTCCGCCCACAAAAACCAGCCGCTGACTGTTGTTCCTTTGGGGAACCATCTGTGAGGAAGAAACGGGTGCAATTAATAAATGGTTGTTCAACAGTTTTACCCTTGCTGCTGTAGAGGAAGGGGGTGCAATCTGTGACCGGGCTGTAGTGTCGGTCTAATGGCAGCTGAGTGAGGTTACAGGGTTTCCACGGGTCATTGAAGATCATTCAAAGTCATTACATTATAATTGTTTTTCAGTTAGGCCTTAACTGGCATTAAAATTCATAAAATGTGAATATCGCGACATTTAAATAAAAAAATTTTTTGTTGATGGCATTAGAAAGATTTCTAATAGCATTAAAAAGGGTTAATTAGAGCTTCTCATTCCTGTATAAAACCTGGGTTAAATGATAAGAACCTTTGCTCCTCTGTTTTTAAAAGTTTTTAAGTGCTTCAAATGTGTTGACATATTTTTTTCAGAATGTTTTTTTGTTTTGTTGTAGGGTATTAATAAAAAAGTTAGAGAAGTTATGATTGTGTTAATGTAGCTGAAAACTGTAGTGTAATCGCTTGTGTAATTTTCCACTGTGATCATTTTCCTTGCCTGTTTTTTTCTTTCTTCAGTTTTTGTTTTTTTCTCCTTTCCCAGGATCTTTTGAAATGCTACATATGGCATAAAAGATGCACAAAATATTTCAGACACATGGTGGCAATCAGCTGACTTATGATCTGTCGTCTCTGCAGCCAGTCGCTGTATATTCATTCAAGCAATAATTCAGGAATATTTGGACAGAGTAATGAGCCTCTTCACTCTTTTAAAACCACATATTTACACCTTGAGGACTGGGATTGTTTGTTTTTGTCTTTTTCCTTTTGCTGCCCTCGCTGATTTTTAATTTATCCCAAGTTTGATGCAGAATGTGTGTGAGACTGTCGTATAGATTTACAATAACATCATGACCTTTACCTCGTCTCTGTGAGCAAAATGAACAGCCTGGTTTTTATTTAACTATTTTTTTTCCTGCAACATTCACTTGGTTATTCCAGCTTTCATGCCCCCTTTTATGCAAGATGATTGTTGCATTATGTAGCTGAAAAGGCCATTTGTATAAAAAGAAAGTGAGGGTGTGCTCGGCTATCTACTTCTTATTTATCAGCTGTGACACTATCAGCGGTGCCTTGTGAAAAGAAAGTCAGTCATTCAGAACAGAGGGGCCACCTTGGTTGTCAAAGCAGGATTTAGGCTACATTTCCCACGGTTGCCATGACAACCGTGGGAAATGTGATTATGGAGGGGGTGGAGGGGTTCAGAGCAGAGCTGTCACACCAGTGGGTATTACCATGGTGGTTTGCACAGTGATCATCCCAGAATTACTGGCTCACAATCAAACGTTTGTCTTACAATGAACTGCTGTGTTCTTCCATGGCTCAGATGCTGTGCTGTTGTTCTGTGTCTGAACTGTTGGGGTTAATTTGCCTCTTCTTCTCTCTTTCCAGGGCAGAATGTGGTTAAATGGGACAGTTAGGAGTAGAACGTGAAGATTATCTAATCCTTGCCCCTGACTCCCAACCGTCTGAGAGGGTGTCGGACCTCACCGAGGCATTCCTGGGCCGTTGGCACTAAAATGTCCCTAAGTGGTGGCACTGCAGGCGGGAAAGGTGTGGACTCTAATGCGGTGGACACTTACGACAGCGGGGATGAGTGGGATATCGGTGTTGGAAATCTGATCATTGACCTCGACGCTGACTTAGAAAAGGACAAACTTGAGATGTCTGGCACCAAGGACGGCATAGCGGCACCACCCAGCGCAGTGGCGGCGTTGCCCGACAATATACGATTCGTTAGCCCAGTCTCTGGCGCTCAAGGCAAGGAGAGCAAATCAAAATACAAGCGCAGTAAGAACTCTAAAGACAATAGCAGCAAAGCTTCCACGGACGGGGGTAAAAAAGAAGCCACCGGACGGACTCAAGGGGAGCCAATAGGTGCAGCAGCAAGCGCAGTAGCTGCAGGCAACAACTCCACCAAGAACATGGAAAAAGGAGGCAAAGCCTCCAGAGGTGTTCTTGGAGGTAAAAAAGACAAGGAAGGGGCCAGTGGGAAAAATAAGAAAGACAAAACAGATGGCGCCCCAGTCGTGGCAATTGGCGTCTCTGACAAGGACGTTACTCAGGCCCAGGTTGCTTTGGGAAATAGCCGTAATGCGTCCTTTGAGAACACACAATCAACAGACTTGGCAGATGCTAATCAAATGGGGAATATTGCACTTGAATCTGTTGGGATAGTACCAGCGTTGACCACGAAAACTGAACCAGATGAGGTGGAAAATGTGAACAGTGAATGCAAGACATTAAAGAAGATAAAAAGCGAGAAGGTAAGTTGTTTTTACTTTTAGTGGTTGCTGAATGTGCTTTATGTCCTATCAGTTTGACTGATCTCATTTGAAGAACATTTGATATCAATTCCTTCTTGAACTGGAGATATACTAATATCGTTACCCAATCAGATCGAAGCATTGGTACTTCAAAAGAAGAAAAAAGCACGATCTTCTGACTGGTTTTTTAAACATATTGAAAAGGCTGGCTGTGCTTTGAACAGTTGAGATCATGGTTTTTCATTTTTTTGGTGTGGGTTTTTAGAAGCCTCAGATGTAGCTCTTTAAAAAAAAAAAAAAAACAGAACTGTCTTTCATTGATTTTAATTTAATGCAATCTGACCCAGGGCTTTAGACGTCTTGACGTTGCACTTTGACAGCCTGTTGCTTTCAGCAGGCATGAAGATGCACTGCATCCCCTAAAGCAATCTGACATGTGATGCATGCAAAGAGGCCCACTGCTGTTTTCTCTTTTATCACCGCCTTATGAACGAGGCAGCGCTTGACGAATGCGATGCCGTGACCCACCACAGGAAATGGTCCACACAGTGGAGATGTTCTTTTCCTGACTTGGCTGTGCAGGCTTTATTTGTCTTACAGGAATAGACAGTTCCCTTCCTATTAGAAACGCTTCTGCTGGCATGTTAAGTAATAATTCTTATTATCATCTTTTGTAATTATCTCTAAAGTTGTTGTATTCTCCATATTAGCCCATAAAAAATTAATTGCAGACTGGAAGATAATCGACACTGTCGGCTTTAAGCTGTAAAAAGCATTACGCCTGTGAAGCGAAACAAATGTCAAATCCTGTTCCACTTAAAAAAAAAATAAAATATATATATATATATTTTTTTTTTTTTTTGTTGTTGAACATTTTAAACACCGGCACTGTCACACAAGAATATAAAGATCTGTGTAGCTCTTCACCCACACTTATCTTGTTCACTCAGAGCTGATCCATCACAGTGTCTTTTGTGTGCCTCATAGCAGCCTTTTCATGCTCTTGCAGTATAAAAGACAGCAAAGCGGGGAGGTGCAAAGGACTGTTTTTGTCTGTCATCGTGTTCCATTCTTAATCCCACAAGCCCCAGCAATGCCTGGTGGAGTAAGTGTGTGTGTGGAGGGAGAGCTGGTGCTCAGCACGCCTTCCTCAGTTTTTTTCCTGTGGGGGGATGGGCTGCGAGGAAGCCTGTTTGATTCCTTAAATCCAGGACACCCAGTCATGAACACAAGCTGTAGAGCCTCCTGTGGCTGGACGGCTATGAAAGGAATTCTAGCAAAGTCTTTGTAATCATAATGTATTTAGTATAAAAAGGTTTTTTTTTTTGGGACAACCTCAAGAACAACAGGCAGCTATGAATAAAAGGCGGAGGTCAAAACTGCTTCATGGCAGCAAGCTGCTAAAGTGGATCCCTGAGAGCATGGGAGGGGTGTGATTCTACAGGAGCAATATTGGCTTAATGACTCTTTTATTTAGTCAGGTAAGACCGGTAAATAGAAGAAAGGAAAATGTTCAAAAGCAGCACTTAGTTCTCATTAGTTTATTAGTTTGCTCCACCATGTAACAGAAGAAATTGGCATAAAAACGAAAGGTCAACCTGAAGGAGACATTTATATTGATAGCTTTACTTAAACCTTTCACTTTTAAGTGAGGTTTAACTTTCAGTCTTTGAAAAAGTAAAGAGATGTGTACTTGAATTTGATTGTTATAATTTGAATATTTTGGGAAATTTTCCAGCCTGTATCCGGGCTGAATCTTGGGACGGTGATAAAATGATCAGATATTTTGATGACAATTTGGGCTTTTTATTTTTTGGCACCAGAATTTTTGTGCGGTAGCTGCAACTCTCTCTCTTCACTGCTGCATGGCAGCTAACCCATGGTAACCTAATGACCTTCACCCAAATAATGTGCGTGAGAAAGTTTGTCTTACTCTGGTTAAATCCATTGCCTTTGTGATTTAGAAATTATTTGGGTTACAGAATTAACCAAGCCTTTAGAATTAGAATAACAAGACAAAAAAAGAGATGGGGGGGTTGTGGCAGGAGTAAGAAATGAGGGGAGAAATGTTCACTAAAATAAGAGCACGGCAAGGTGTCACCTTGTCAAAATATATATTTGATCTGTTGAAATGGTTGCTCTCCATCGTTTACTTCCCTGATTTCAGTCACACTGTCGATATCAACGCTCACCCAGCGTGATGACGTCATCAGACATGCAGTGGGGGTTACAGACTCAGCTTTTCGGTCAAATGGGAGAAGAGCCAAAAGCCGATTGCTAGAGAGTCAACCAGCTTTTGAAAAACATGGGTTCTCAGTGGGAACATTACTATAGTGAAGCTATAGCATCCTGTGTAGATTATAAAATCAATTATTTATCTCACATGACCGATCAACTGATCTCATGTGAGTAGTCTGTTAGAAGTGTGGTGGATTTCCCAAGCTACTGCGGTGATCCACATGGAGGCCTTTTTAAAATGCTTTGCTTTGCAGTGCTTTGAATACAAGCCCAGCTGCTTTGCATCATCTCTAACATGTTATATGCATGAAGTTTCAGTGAGGAACATATTTCTCAGATCTCTTGGAGATCAAAAGGTGCATGTCCTTCCACTACACACTATAAATTGCATCTGTATTATATCACTTAGCTCTCCCTAGTGCAGTATTTCTACCCCGGAGTTCATAGTTGTTATGAAAACCTTTAGATAGGCAACTCAAAGGAAGGTCTGTAAATGCTGAGTGGTGAACCACCAGGAGAACCAATCACTGTGACCTAGTCTTTATTGATAAGTTATGAACGTTCTTTCTAAAAGTAGCTGTTAAAGAATTTTAATTAGCACTGTTGAAGAATTTCTTTTAGCCATAGCGCTGGGCGATATGGCTAAAAAAAAATATATATTTTTTTTATTAAAATCATAATGTCATCTTGGACATTACGATCATAACATAAATCTTGTGCAAGTAACACATAAATGTTCACCCAATAAGAACTTTAAAGATTTTTTTTTATCAGTAAAAATGTACACCTGTATATTCAGTACAAGTGCAGAAAAAAACAACAAAAAAACAAAACAAAGAGCATCATTTGCTGAAATATGCAATTAATGAACCGTCAATAACTTGTATTGATCATCTGGGAAGTTGGTGATTTGTAAACAGCAGCTTTTGAGAGCCCAGTATATGTCGATATAATGCACAGTTAAAGTCATGTATGGCTGAAGAGATCGATTGGACCAAAACTCTGTAGTAGTTGCAAAAAACAAAGCAGAGCCCCACTTTTCATAGTGTTTCTCGCATTTCGTTGTACAGGTTTGGTAGCACAACCTCCGCAATCTATTTGCGACTCGCCAGGTCATATTTTGGATCACACACTTGTACATGTGGAGGAAGCCAGGCTTCTCTTCTATGTAAATGGTGACCATGTCCATCCCTATATGATCAGCTACAGCGTCGGTCATCTTCTTCCACAGCACACTACACTTGTCGTACGGCACCGCTTTAGAAAAAGAGGCGGCCAGGGTTTGGGCAATTGAGCATTAAGGGAATTGAGTATTAAAGCCTGCAATGTGAACGTAGCCTTAGATGCACACGGCTGTAGTCTGCTCCCCATCAGCCTTGTCGAAACCGAACCACTTCCAAATAATTAACGAAGCAGGAGTCTCTTTTCTCTGTACCAACTCTTCAGATAGGACAGCATGCTATTAATGAGGAAAGACGCGGTGAGGAAACGCCCAAGTAAAAAATGCAGAAGAAGAGAAGTTCTCGATTTTACGATTTAGCTAAATTTCAAATCGTAGATCCTAAAAACATGAATTAATCAAATTAATTTGATTTATGGCGCAGCCCTACTCCAGAGGCAAGATGTCATCCCATTATATTATTACAGCTTTTAAATTCCTTAAAAACAGTGAAATTGATAAAATAACCGGTTTTAATTTCATCAGTTTTCTTTCCAATTGTGATGTATGAAGAAAAATAAATATTTAAACCATAATCACATCACAGCCTTGAGCTAAGCACATCTAGGCATAATAAATTTTTAGAAAATCAATGTAGCTTTTAAAATCTGCGTAAGCAGGTAATGAAAACATTCCTGCATAGAAAACCACTCCTGCCACTAAAGTCATCTTGTATTACTACCTTAAGGACCATCCAGTACACTGTGAATAAATTAGCATCCTTTTTTGCATCGTAAAAAAGTAGTTGAAAATGAACTTCTGAATAACTTGAAGTTAATAAAAAAGAGAAGCGATCTTGAACGTGCACTGCCTGCTGTGGGATCACTGTGTCAAACTTAATGGCCCATTTCATGTTAAACAACTCTCCTGGCTGTGAAGTTTGTAATCAGTTGGACACTTCATGCTTACTGTGTATTGTGTAAGATGTGATCAGTTGAAATGCAGGAGGATTAGGGTGTTAGAAAACAGGTTAAAAATGGGTTCATTCAAAGGCACTGGAGTTGTGTAATCCTCCTACTAATCAGTATGCTTCTCTTCAGCAATCTTGTTTTCCATGGTTCTGCTGTAATGGCCGTGGCTACATTTTTTATGTCCTAAGTTAAAGCTCCCCAAAGCTTTGGCTCTCAGATGCTGAATAAATCATCTCTACTTCCTTCGTACAAGTGCTAACCACCTTGTGAGTGTGTCTCACTCTCCCACCTCTCATTATACAAATCTAGAGGAGTGAGGCATTGTCAGCTTCCTCGATGTGCCACTGGCCTTGATAAATGGAGCAGCGCTCAGAGAAAATTACATTGGCTGTGTTACTTTCAAACAGGGGGAGGGAGAGAAAGGAAAGGGTACTCCTGAATGAAAGACCTGTGCCGCCGCTCTGCTTTGCTGCTTATGTCCAGCCCAGGGGTTGGAGGGATCTCATGAGAGCTAGCTTGAGCTCTTTCTCTTTACTGTGCCTGACAGACTGTTGTTCTGCAGCTCATTCTTTTAAGTAGTGCCAAGGATTGTAAAAGCTATGGAACCGAAGAGACTTGTTTTTGTTGGAGGT